ACTCTCTCAAGTGGGGCTCCAACACAAAACTGCCATAGTTGACCTTGTTGTTTCTTTCATGTACCTTTATGCTCACAGCATAGTTCACATGATTTATACAAATTATCTACAGATCTCCTGCACCTAAACTAATATGACCACATTGGTTCTTCATCATTAATTGTGGATGTCACATCTTGTACTATACTTAGCTATACTTTATGTTGGTAGTATTTAATTTATTGTGGTTCCCTTTTTTAACAGTGTTTAGTAACACGTGGTCTTCAGAATAGTACATCAGCATTTCCAGTTCTGTCCAAGGTGATGTACAATGTAAAAGTTGTACTCCTGGAGGATTTGGTGGTATTGTGCTATCTGGCCTTCTGGTTTCCAAAATTCAACAGCCACTTCAATTTGCATGATATGTAGAAAGTGTAAACATTTGCTATACAAGTAATGATAGAAATTATTTAGGGCTTGAACAACACTAAATAGCTCATTTTGAGTTGTACAATACCTCCTTTCTGGAGCATTCGTTGCCTTGCTGGAGTAGGCAATCACTTGCCCTTTTTATAAGTGTCGTTCATCCAATTTTTTGGTTCCTTCAGCAGCACACTACACATTTTATAAGTGTCGTTCATCCTATTCTTGGTTCCTTCAACAGCACACTACACGTTTTATAAGTGTCGTTCATCCTATTCTTGGTTCCTTCAACAGCACATTACACGTGTTATAAGTGTCGTTCACCCTATTCTTGGTTCCTTCAACAGTAAACTACACGTTTTATAAGTGTCGTTCATCCTATTCTTTGTTCCTTCAACAGTAAACTACACGTTTTATACGTTTTGTTCATCCTATTCTTTGTTCCTTCAACACTACACTACACGTTTTGTTCATCCTATTCTTTGTTCCTTCAACACTACACTACACGTTTTATACGTTTTGTTCATCCTATTCTTGGTTCCTTCAACAGTACACTACACGTTTTATAAGTGTCGTTCACCCTATTCTTGGTTCCTTCAACAGTAAACTACACGTTTTATATGTGTCGTTCATCCTATTCTTGGTTCCTTCAGCAGCACACTACACGTTTTACATGTGTCTTGGTTCCAAACACTACACTACACTTTTTATAAGTGTTGTTCATCCTATTCTTGGTTCCTTCAATAGCACACTACACGTGTTATATTCGTCGTTCACCCTATTCTTGGTTCCTTCAACAGTAAACTACACGTTTTATATGTGTCGTTCATCCTATTCTTGACTCCTTCAACAGTACACTACACGTTTTATATGTGTTGTTCATCCTATTCTTGGTTCCTTCAACAGCACACTACACGTTTTACATGTGTCTTGGTTCCAAACACTACACTACACTTTTTATAAGTGTTGTTCATCCTATTCTTGATTCCTTCAATAGCACACTACACGTGTTATAAGTGTCGTTCATCCTATTCTCGGTTCCTTCAGCAGCACACTACACGTTTTATATTCGTTGTTCATCCTATTCTTGGTTCCTTCAACAGCACACTATACGTTTTATAAGTTTCATATTTTTCTTGCTATTTTTGTTCTCTACCACGTGCTTGGTTTTCATTTTTCTATCACTGCCTTCGTTTTGACCTTTATGTCTTGGTTTAATATTTCCACATTTTTCTTTGCTTTTTCTTTCATTTTCCTATGTTTTTCCACTTTCTAGGACTTATCAACTCTTCTGTTACGTTTAACTTGGTTCTTTCATTCACAATTAAATTCTCCCTTTTTTAGGTCATGTCCTCCATTTTGTATTCTATATTTTTGCTACGTTTTAATATTTGTTTTTCAATATTTTACTCTAGTTTTTAAATTTCCTAACAAATTCTGGTTCCTCATTTTATGACTGTATGCGTGTGTTGTTTTTATATTTATTCTTTTGTCTCTTCTTTACAAGTTACTAGATCGTTTTCTTACTTGTCAACTGAACATTGCCGGAAGATTGTCGATCTTTGATCGACATTTTACAAGTAAACAAAAAAATTCACCTCGAACTTATTCGCATCATAGTAATCGAGAATATATGTGTAATCAACAAAGATATCCAGTAAAGTTCAAACTTAAATATCCTGTATTTATGTGTAATCAACAAAGATATCCAGTAAAGTTCAAA